CTGCGAGGGTGCATCTACCAAGCAGCAAGCAACCCGCCAAGGCTCAGCGCCTGGGCCAGCTGGGTCAGGCTCGTCGGGAACTCGTGTGCAGAAACTCTCCCACCTCCCGGGTTTTCGGAGCCCAGGCTCAGCCCAAGCCCAGAGTCTACACTGCAAGTTGTGCGCCTTGCTCCAAGACCCAGGGGCTCCAATCAGCTGCCCCCGCTGGCCACAGCCGCACTGCCGTCTTCTTGCAGACACGCCCTCAGAAGTAACCCGAGAGTGACAAAGGCCGTGGCCCAGCGGGCGCTGTGCTGCTGGCACCGCGCAGCCGAGTTCTAGGACACTCTGTGCCGGTGTCACAGCAGGCGTTTTGGTATCGGAGGCGTTTCTTGGGTAATTTGACTCTGCTGCCTCCCAGCACCCTTGCGGCAGCCATTAGATATTATACCCTCCTCTTCCTGTCCCAGAGCAGCTGCCACATCTCACCCCAGAGCAAACTTAGCCAAAGTCCAGGCCAATTAAGGAGACATTTTTCAACAGAATTGAAATCTCTTGGACGGCTCGGAGTCTGCGACCGTACCAGACTGCAAACTCGGCCTCCCCACAGCTTTAGCCCAGGCGCACTCAGGAGGCAGCAAGTGCAATCGACCAGCGGACTGGATCCCTGGGATGCAGGGAGTCTCCAGACCTGGTGTCTTTCAGTCAAGACTGTATCATCTTCCAAAACCACAGGCGGGGGCCTGCGTAAAGCAGAAGCAGGGTGCCAACGCTCTGACTTCTAAAAACAGACACCCCCCCATCTCGTCCACAAGCCCTGCCCCGTCCTGCCTCTTCCCAAGGCTCCACCCCTGTTCCGCCTCCTCCTCGAGACCCCGCTCCCCGCCAACTCCTCTCTCCCCATCCCTCAGTCCTCTCCATTCCCCCTTCTCCCAGCGGGGCTGACGCAGAGCCTGCTGCCTATGGGCTCAGGAGATGCAGGTTGGAGGGGTCCCGGCTACACTGGGGCCAGTGTGGGCTGATGATCTGGTGCCCCCGCCCCCCCCCTCACAGTAACTGGACTTTTGTTGCTGGGTCACATGGACACTGCTGGGCCCCTTTGTCTCCCGGCCTTTCTGGTCTGAAATAGGCCAGCTGGCACCAATGCAGAAGATCAGACTGGGTGATCACGAGGGGCCTTCCTGGTCTACAACCTCTGCCTGGGCACACCTGCTCGGAAATGCACCGAGCTCGACAGCAGCCTTCTCGGAACCCATGCGCAGGGGAGGGATCCCAGCTGCCTTGGCTCCGTGTGATCAGGTCCCTAAAAGCAGCCCAGAAGCGGAGCTGGCCCCTGCACAGCATGGTTTGGGGTGGCCGCCCCAGACCCCGTACTTTGGAGGTCCCACAGAGGCCACCTCAGCTGTCCAATGGAGGAGACCCGTGGGGTCCAGGATAGCCCGAGGAGTTACCTGGGGGGCCGGGCACGGGGTGGAGCAGCGGTGGGCGCCGGAGGGACCCAGCAGCCTGCCCTGCTCCCCGGCCCATCTCCCAGCTTTTGCTTTACCACGTGGTGGCAGCAAGTGGGGCAACGCAGGGCTCAGGGGAGCAGGCTGGGCTGCTCCGCTTCCCACTGCTGGGATTCCTGGCAGGCTGGCTGGGCTCCCAGTGCCTCACTGCTTGGTTCTGAAGAGCACACGATGGGCCAGCTCCCGACTGCCTGGATCACCGCCCACGTGTGCTGACTACATTTGTGCGCGCCGAGCCCTAGCTGTGGGCACTGCAGGTCAGCTGGGCAGAGTCCTGAGCAGCCGCCCAGCAGGCAGGGCTCACCGGTCAGAGCCAAACGCAGCGTAACGAGGTGGGCGAGCTCCAAGCCTGCCTGGAAGGGTGCATCCTGCGTGCGGACTAGACGACGAGAACAGGTCGACCTCAGCCTGGCTGGGGCCAGGGCTGCTAGACATGGGCCGTTCACGAGGTACACAATGGCAAACCATTCCACCTCCCAGTCCCAGGGGCTCCCTCCCACCAGAACAGAGCCCCGCCCGCCAGTTCCAGGGCGCCCACCCCTGCTCCCCGCCTCGGAGCTGCTCGGCCCGCTCGCTTTCCCATGCACACCCGGCCCAGGGCCTCCTTCCACACTGCCTGCCTAGCACCAGACGCTCTGACTGAAAGCCCTAATGATCCCATCATCAAGTCCGTCCATTCGTCTGGAGCAGGCCCCCTAGGATGGCTAGAAAAGACGGACGCACGGACTCCCAGTGATGTGTGACCCAACAGGGGCGCCACTCGCGTTGCTAGACTCCCTGCCTGTCAGCACAGCCATTAGAAACCCGGCCGCGCACGGCTCCATAACTCATCCCTCCCACACAGAAACTGCTCTCGACAGAAACCTGGCCCCGAGGTTAGTCCCAGGAGGGCACTGAAAGCCCCATTCGGCTGCTTCCGCCCCATTGCTTCAGCTCTCAGCCGTTTCAAGAACGGCAATTTCTCATTTCTCGGTGTGACTGAGGAAACCCAAGAGAAAGGCAGAGATTTACATATCACTGCGGTGGTGACACAAGCTGGCAGCAGCCAGGAAACCCAGAGCCAGGCTGTCATTCCTCTCTGGCACGTTGCTCCCTTTGGCTTCAGTTTAGCAAAATGAGTTTGATTAGGCCTGGCTGCAGGCGTGTGCACTCGTCAAGGCTCACCGCCGGGGGCCAGCACACCTGCCCCAACCCGCACCCTCGCGTGCCTGCTTGGAACAGAGGCGGATCCAGCGTTCCCCCTTGTGCTTCCACTGACGCGTCTGCAGCCATCCCGCCCCGGGCTGGCACAGCAGCGGCCCCTCTCACGTGCCCCCAGAGAGGAGAGAGGCTGCACGGCGACGAAGTCTGAGCTTTGTTCTGCTACCGAAACATCGGCTAGCGGGATCTGCCTCCAAGGCTCGACTCCTGGGGCCACGCCTGAGACTGCCCCGGTTCCTGGCCACATCACAGTCTGAACTAAAGCTTCCACCTGAAGCAGGAAAAAAATCTTCGGCTACGTCTAGACTGGCATGATTTTCCGCAAATGCTTTTAACAGAAAAGTTTTTCCGCTAAAAGCATTTGTGGAAAAGAGCATCTAGATTGGCGCGGACGCTTTTGCGCAAAAGCACTTTTTGTGGAAAAGTAGAAAGCCCCCAGCGCCATTTTCGCCATTGGGGCTTTTTTGCGCAAAACAGTTTTTAGCATCTACACTGGCCCTCTTGCGCAAAAACATTTCTGGAAAAGGGCTTTTGCCCGAACGGGAACGTCAAAGCATTTGCTCAAGAAGCACTGATTTCGGACAGTAGAACGTCAGTGCTTTTGCGCAAAATCACGCGGCCAGTGTAGACAGCTGGCAAGTTTTTGCACAAAAAACTTGCCAGTCTAGACGCAGCCCTCCTGGTTTCTAGCCCTCACGATTGTGACAAAACGTGAGCCAGGGCAAGTGGTTTTGCCCGAACGGGAACGTCAAAGCATTTGCTCAAGAAGCACTGATTTCGGACAGTAGAACGTCAGTGCTTTTGCGCAAAATCACGCGGCCAGTGTAGACAGCTGGCAAGTTTTTGCACAAAAAACTTGCCAGTCTAGACGCAGCCCTCCTGGTTTCTAGCCCTCACGATTGTGACAAAACGTGAGCCAGGGCAAGTGGCGCAGTAACACGTTCCAGGCTCTGCAGACACCCTGAAACGACCCCTCAGAGCGTGGCCTGCCCCAGCCATGCCCACAGCGAGTTAACCCCGAGGTCGGGCGGGGCAGGGGGAGGCTGGCGCACACCAACGCCTCACAGCAGACCCCTCTGGCCTGGAAGCAGGAGAAGAACGAAGCAGGCCTGTTCCACTCACCCGCGGAGGCACATCCCTCGGCTGTGTACCTGGCCCGCCCTGCCTCTCAGGAAGGAGGAGGGGAGCTCCCTCGCCACCTACACTCGGAACGGGCCCTGGTTTGCTTTCCTCTGGCCCGCCCTGCCTTGTTCCCAAGAAGGGACATTAGGCCGGCTGACCGTCCACAGAGAGAAGGGCTTTTCTCGCTGCTGTCAGTATATTCCACCGTGGGGCCACCTGCTCCGAGTGTCACAGCGGCATGAACCAAAGGGAATCCTGGGTCCCGCTTTCGGTCTTCCTGCTCCTAAGCCCATTGCCGTGGTAGCTGAGTGGGCACTGGGGTCTGCTGTCTCCCCTCCGGGAGCCCACCAGCAGCCTCGCTATGTAGGTAGATCTATGGCGCCAGTCAGCCAGTGGCCAGGCAGGGCTCTGCCAACAGGACTACTCAGCCCTCTGCCCACAGCCAGACTGGTTTTCGCTCACCGAGGTGTTTTAAGGGGCTTCTGCCACCTGCCAAATTGCTACAAACCCGCATCCTTAGCGACCTGAGAGCCGTACTGTACACATGGCCCCGCCGAGCACGCCAGCTAAGCCTGGCTTTGCCGCACTCGAACTCTCACCAGTTTTATCTGTGCTCCCAAGCGCCAGCTTCTGGGCCAGACTCTGGCTGGCTGGGCTCTCAGAGCAGGCGTGTACACACGGTACTCAAATCACAGCCCAAATCTCTCTGCACACACCTACCCAGCCACACCCCTCTCCCCGGCAGCCCAGGCCCTCCATACCTTGTCCTTTAATTCCAAAGGGAGGCACAAAGTCCCTGATCCGGGCCCACTTTTTGAAGGAATCGTCCAAGAACATTGGCGCTGGCTTGGAGAACCTGAAAAACAAAACGGGAGACACGCGAGCGTGAACTGGGGAGGAACAGGTCCCGGGGACTCGCTGCCCAAACGCTGATTCCCTACTCTCGGGAGAAGGGCAGCAGGAGTCAAAGAGATTTCATTACCACCTTGAATCCGCACACAGGAACCAAGACGAGTTTCACGGCGGAGCTGAGAACCGTGGCGCTTGCCACGTGGCAGCTCAGAAGGACGTGCAGCCTGTCCGCCTGGCAGGCGAGCTTAGTCCCAGCAAGCCAGGAAACGCCAAGCGTGCGGATACGGTCCAGGCGAGAACGCGCTGGAGTTGAGGCTAACTAGCCGCTGCCGTGTTCTAACAGGCCTGCCTGCCGATGGGGGGACCGAGGGACAATTCCCCTGGGGCCTGGCGATTCAAGAGAGACCAGGCCTCTTGCCATGGCAACGGCAGTGCCCAGAGCCCCGGCCCCCTTCAATCACCGCTGGAGCAGCCCCAGGCATGTTCCTGGCAACTCTGAGGGCTGGGGGGCACTGCATCCCATTGGCTGCCCCCGGCTCTGCCCCGGCCACCCCTGCCCACCTTGCCAGGCGCCCGGCGGGGCTCTGAACACAGGGCAGGGGACACACGGGACCCTAACTCGTTCATCTCACCACCGACCTTTCTGCTCCGAGCAGTAGACAGGGTGAGAGCAGCAAGACAGCAAAGTGCTTTGTCCCGAAGCACTTTGCCACAGACCTGTCTGTGCAGGATCCCAGAAGCCTGCCAGCTCTGGCACTCTGGCCAGCCTCTGGCGCATGCTGCCTGGGAGCAGAGGCGTGTCCAGGAGGGGACAGGCCAGGTGGCTGCAGGCAGAGCTGTGCCAGAGTGAGTGTAGAGTATGCTGGGTGAGTGGGGAATGGAGACAGAGGGGCATCTCCAAAGATGGCTGCTTCCCTTTGGCCCACGCAGGCTGTGCTAGTGTCTGAGCCGCCCCGCAGATACAGGAAAGGTTCGGGAGGCTGAGAAATATCACTCACGAGCTTGCAGAGCTAGAAACAGAGGCACGCCTCGCTTCTCTGCACTAAACATGCGCGTGATCCTGGACACCTGCCCCCAAACCGAGCCAGGACAGTCACCCGCACCCACTGCCAAACGAGAACCTGCCGAGTGC